ATCTGTGAGTCCGGAATAAGCCGCTTTAAAGTACGCTGTGTGACACCAGGATGGTTCGGCTTATCTTTTCTTTTAGATGACTTCAGAATTCAGTTCCTTTTTTCACACATTTATAGTTAAATTGTGTTGTTTAGCCATGTATGTCATTGTAACTCTGGTCTTTTATGTGCCCGTTGCTTTCATTTACTTAAAATGTCAAAGTCTGACTTCTTTTAATCAATGTCATTTCTTATTCCGTCTGTTGCCTTGAATTCTCAACCCGCTGCTCTTCCTCTCTCCCTCCCCCCCGCCCGCCACAGATGACCCTCACATTACACCTCGTGAATTATTGAGGTGAAACCTAGCCCTGCCCAGCAAATCACAGGACCTCTCTTTTTCCTCCTCTCCTCTTACCATCTCTCCACTCATTATTGATGGTTTTCTTTCCTTAATTTCAACCTCTGACAGTCTATCAAGTCACAGAGGGCAAAGTAGGATTTAGACTTCTTTTTCTTCCTCGTAATCCAGAAGAATTTATGGCTGCCTGTGACTTTGGTAACAGCAGGTGGGCGACTATTTAAGAACACACTGATTACACACACACACATTCATAGTTTACCTCCCTGGATCAGAACCCACTGACCCCAGTCGTATTTTCCAGTATGTTATTGCCCGCAGTGCAGTTGTGCAGTTAAAACCTTAACATTATTAGGTTTGCATAAAAAAGCTTTTATTCTTTGCAATATCACAAATTTCTAAATTCTATTAGTTTGCTTGAGTTCTGTGTGACAAAGCAGTTTGACAAGAATAAGATTTATGGAATATTAAACATAAAATCTTGCTCACAAAATCGATTAAATGCAAGTAAGTGCAGCCAAAACCTGAAACGTGGACAACAGGACTATTCTTTTCCTTTTTTTTACCCGCATAATCTTATGGCAGAGATAAAAAAAATACAAAAACAGATAGTTTTGCTCACTGAACTCCCCCCCCAATGCAGAAATATCAGCTGCTCCGACATGATGAGCCGTGACAGCAGAGAGCTCAGTAACGCACTTCCATTTACAGTAAAGTGGCTGTGCTGAGATGACGGGAGGGGGGGACAAAATGGGAATTGACACACTCCTTCGGGCATCCGATAGACATGAAAATATTCTGGACACAAACTCCTCGCCGCGCAGATGAATTCAAAAGAAAATCTTTTTGATGAAGTCGTTGGGAGCGGTGTGTGTGTGTGTGTGTGTGTGTGTCAGCCCGGTGCTGCGGCACCTGTAGCCCTGCCGCTGTGTTTCCCATCTATAAGGAAGCCTGTTTTCTGCAGAGGATCTCTGGCTGTCGGCTAAAGAGAGAGAGAGAGAGTGCATTTCTAATCAATATGCTTCAAGGCCATCTTTGAGTCATCCAAAGTTCTCCGTAGATGACAAGTTGCCGGGAATGCAGACAGTAAGATGTATAAACACACACACACACAGACTCACCAGTTTTATTTCTGTGATACACCTTCTGTCTGGAGAGGAGAAATAACTTTAAGAACCGCCTCGCTCGTGACAAAACCGAGCTTAAATAATCTTCAGAAATGCGATAAATACTGACATGTAACATCTGCTGTAAGCTAATGTGAACCAACATGCTGTCCCCCTGTATCTATTGGCATAGCTCTATTCCATTACTATCTATGACAAAATCTCTGAAAGATGGAGACATTAATGTTTGGAATTATACCAAAGTTGACGGAGAATGTCACCTAACCGGAGACATGGGGAAAGTGCCTGTTTTTCAGGCTGATGATGTAGGTTTCTGACACGGATGATACGTTTCTGGATGGGATCCCTGCAGTGTGACAAATGGAGAAGGGCTCTTGTATAACCGACTGACAAGAGGCCTGCTGCCGGCTCTCGTCAGCACTTGAACACACCACAAAGATAACTTCCCGCTGCTGAACATTGTGTTTGCGCCTGCGCGACCCACCGGTGGAGGGAAGTGGGTAATGACTGCTCTGCACCAGAACTGAACCGTGCCCTGTGGAGACGGGCTGTCGGTCGGGCTTCAGTTTGTGGCTTCGCTTTCTGAAGAGCTGCCTGTTTTTGGGGAGTAGAAGTTGATTATCTTTAAGTTAGCCGTTAGCTTTCCATTGCCAGGGCCAGAGGCCAAAAGAAGAACAAGAGGTTTTTGCTGTGGGGCACTTCTTGAAGGAATAAGGGGCAATATGAATACTGTTTTCTGCCATCTGCGTTCAGCATTTTTCAACAATTAGTGCAGTGTCTTATGCCAAACACTGTAAAGCTTTTACATGCTACCTCTAAGTTTCCTATGAACGCATGAAAAAGCTCCTGTCCATTTAATGATGGGAGCCGATGGTTCATGTCTTCATCTGGATGACCTCGAAGTGACAGGAAAAGCCACACTAAAATACCCTCGACAGATTAGAAATGTGTGAGAAAAGATCAATGTTCTCTGATGAGTGGCAGGATAATGGGAAAAAAAGCCCTTTTCTTGGGGCTAAATTCTCCATTGTTTTCAGGGCATGGAAATCTCTCTCTCTAAGGGACGTTTCCAAACCATTTTGTGTCTATAAGTAATTCAGCCCACAATGAAAAGGAAAGTGGGGCCCAGAGGCTCGAATTGCTATCGCTCTGTTTTGTTTTGAAACAGAAAAATGCTCCCTTTTGCTAAAAGATAAATAGATCGTGCCCCGTATCTGCCCTGTCGTATATAAACACTTACAGATAAGTACCAAAGGCCTCTGAGGCCAATGTTTGCTACCAGTATACTCAAAGTAATATTCGAGGGACGTTTTGTTTTCAGGGGACTTTGAATACCTCTTTTCAGATTGATCAGTGGACCCCCTGCAAAGTTAGACTCCATCTCCCCACATCATACGTTCCTATTTAAAATTAATCATTTCACTGAGGACCAAAGAGGGAAATCACAGCAAACCACCACTGAGATGCACAGAGCCATCTTCTATAAGCAGTCTCAGGACTGACAGTGTGCATAGTTTTTTTATACTTTCTCTCCATCATTAGTTTATATCAAGAAAGATGATCTGATGAGGTCCAAGCTTAGATGACTAATCAGCCCCAGAAACGATTGAATCACTCATTCTGTGTGTGTGCGATAGGGCTTGTTTTTGGGAGAGAAATCTCTTCCATGGTTTTATAAATGTGTGATACTGTTTACCTGATTCATCAGTCTGTGAGTTGTTCTGTTTATTAGCCTCTTCAATTAGTATTTATCACCATTCTATTGACTAGATGTGATGTTTGATTAAATCTAGTGGAGAGAAATGGGATACGGCTACATTTCATGTACCGAGCCTGACTGTAGTTACAGTGTCAAAGTAGTTAACATGCATTTTGACTCCAATCTTCTCTTCAATGAACAGGTTCATTCATGTTTTAGTGTCGAAATTGAAAGCAGAAGGGTCGAGTGACTCATTTTTCTGGGGTTGTGACAAACGTGACTTGGGTTTGTCGCTCAGTTTGGAAAGAAAATAGATCCACATCTACAGCTATTGATGCAGCAGCTGCCATGGCAACAGCCCCTTGAATAAAGGCGATGTGGATTATTATGGGGTGACTCACACACAACGCCAGGCCAGTTTCATTACCCATACTATATTTAAGTTAATGCAAATTCGTATATAACGGTGTGCATTTTTTCCGTAGAGCAAAAACTGCAGAACGATTTGTTGGGCAGTTTTTTTTTATTTTTATCTGTGCACGGATATTCTTCTTATGCACACATGATTTATGCACCAACATATACAAAGTTGTGCTCAATAGTTTCCTTACATGGAAGTACTTGGATACACTCTTTTTTTTTTTTTCTCGTTATGGATTAAAATTAAATATGTAGGCAGAGGCTTCTCCACCCGGAACTAGGATGATCCAAGCTTTTCTAGCCGGCCAACAAATTAAATAATTGATGCCTCCCCTGGTTGGTTTGGGTTATGTATCTCTGCAAAATTTTCCACTCAATAGAAATGTGGACTAGTGGGTTTTGCCAGAACTCCTGCAAGTGTACGAGTGGTTTTACTCAGCTCCCACAGAGCACCTCAGAGGGACTTTGATTTGGCCGTCTGTCCACCGTGGTACCTCTAACTGGCTTATCACAGAAATCCACGGGCTTCTTCCTGTCAGTCCCACTGCCTGCTTGTCTGTCAGGTGTCATGCTCCTTTTGTCTTCTGAGAAGTCCTGTGATGCAGAGTTTATTCGGGGCCACCCTGGATTGCGGGTCTATGTTGTAGCAGGTGGATTTGGTAGTTCCGTTTATGTGAATGGAGTTTGTGTTAGTTTGTGATGCAGCCTGCAGTTTAAAGTTGACTGCAGGTTACTTGAAGTCTTATTAAGCTGATTAGTACATGTATATAAACACTTATTTCACTGTCTGGCAAAAGAGAGTTCTCACCACGGACTCTTTTTTTCTAATTAACTGTCAAATATGAAATATGTATTAGTGATGATAAAGGATACAAAAGGATATGCATTGTGATGCACATCCTTTTGTACAGGGCTGAGCAAAAAGACTTTAAAATTTGAAGAGGAAATTGGATCTTCACTTTGATTGTTTTGTAAACCTCCTAAAGACTTACAGAATTTAGGGTTTCTGCCTAAAACCCCTTTATTCGGGATAGAATTAGGAGATTAAGTGCCATTTGTTTGCAGAAATTGTTTGCTTTCTTTTATTTCAAAGAAAGCAGCCGTTATTGTTCTTTAGTAGCTTCTTCAGGAAGTAAGTTTATGAGTTATGTATGAGCTGCCCCCCCCCCCCCTCCCCCCCTCGCTATGCTGTACCTATGTCAATGTCTGTACTTATGTATTTTTTAGTGCTGTGCTTGTCAACCTTGCCTTAACAGTCACATAAAATATCCTCTGAGCTCATCCAAAGCATTAGGTGTATTTCTTGACTGATTATTTTGTCCTTTTTTTTTTTTTTTCCCTCTTCTCTTCAGCTCTGCAGGTTTGGATGAGCCATTTCCAGTAGTGCAGACGGAGGTGTGAGGAAGCCAAACGCAGCCATGCCGCCGCCGGCAGACATCGTGAAGGTGGCCATCGAGTGGCCGGGGGCGTTCCCCAAGCTCATGGAGATAGATCAGGTAGTAAATATTATGAGTACGCACTTCTGTCCCTTAAACCCTCTAAGACAAACTGTCGATCTGACCCATAAAAAGCGAACGTTTTCGTCTACAGCTGACAATCATTTGCAGATTTTAACACCAAATACACACACAGCCTGTTTTGCCTAATCACAGTGTGCCTCTCTCATCCGTTGTCGTGTAAATATTGAGGTGGCTGGAATGGAAGGTGCCGGGCAGATGTGATTAGGATTTGATGCAGGTTTTTCCTCTGTTACTCTCAATTCTCCTGATTAGTGTGACGGCAGCACCCGTAATTATAGATATTCGGCAGCTAACACGGCCAAACAAACACGTTCACGGGGAAAGTAACGAGGGATTTCTGCCATAAGGCAAAGTGATTGAGAAGCATTATTGGAATACAGATGTGTCATGTTGGATCAACCTGGAGTGACTGAGGGTCATGTGTGGAAAATAAACCGGTTCAAAGGCTCTAATGGGTTTATTCGCTTTGGCTGCACTGTAAAAACTGGTCGTGGTTACCATCAATGCTGACCGGAAATAGGAATTATTCAACTCTGCGTTAAATCTCTTACTGAGATGCTATTCTTATGTAAATATAGAGTCTAAAATATGGATTCTCTGAGCATAATACTAACATTTAGATTGCCTGATCTAAACGATGGGCGCAATGGCTTTTTAAATCTTTATCCACATGTACAGGCTTTATTTCTGATTAGATTCACTGAAGAATTAAAGCCTCCACAAAGTTGACCGATTTGCATAATGCCGTGGAGGAGTGGTGGTTTTTTGAGAGAGATCCTCACACACGGCTCACGTCCGTGCTGTTTGTCAGCAGATGGTTGATGTCTAACAAACCCCGAACGACATGCAAATAGAATAATTAGCCCAAACAATGACTCTACCGTGTGTTAGGGGTACGTTTGCCGTTTGATTGCGCATACAGTGTGTGTACAGTGGCCTTTTCGGCGTGTTTGTGACTCACAGATGGGCTAATGACTGTACAAGCTGTGAGTCACTGAGGCAACTGCCCCTGTCAATGAACTAACCACTGAATGAAGAAGATGAGTTCTTCTAATAGTGACATGACTCTAAGCTCTTAAGTGCAGATTTTAGGAGGAGTCTTTTGTTTTTGATGACTTCTAGGCACTCTTTTTTTTTTTTTTTTTTTCCTTAAGTTTTAAATCACTCTTTGGTCTTTCATCTACATTTCCATGTTTAAGCAACCTATCCTCTTCTTCCTCCCTCCTCCGCTCTTCTTCAACTCTGTCATTTCTCTCTTGTTTCTTCTCTCTGGTTCCTCCCAGTCCTCGTCCTTTGTGCTTTTACTCTCATTCATTCCCTCCCTCTTACTCCGCCTCCTTTTATTGTCCTCTGACTACCAAACTTGTGCGTTGCCTCTTCTTCTCTCGTCCTCCAAAGCCAGACCCCCCCCCCCCCCCCCCCCACACACACACACACACACACACCCCTCTTCCTCCTCCCCCTGCATCTCCTGTGTACAATGGGCCCTGCAGTGGCATATGGCTGTCTGAGTCATGCAAAGGGGAGTGGGCTTCTGTCTCCAGACCCACGGAAAGAGTGTGCGTTTTTCTGTGTGGGTGTGCATGAATATAACTTGTTTGCGAGTGTTTTTTTTTTTCTTCTTGTTTACGTAGGCACAACCCCTCTCATGTGAATTTTATGTGTAGGCTTGTTTGTGTGGCAGCACGCTACAGTTCATGTGTGTGTGTGTTTCTGTGTGTGTGTGCGCTTCTGTGGAAGAGCTTTGTGTGTCAATGCATGCATCTTTGGGTATTAGCATCCCTCTGTGTGTGTGTGT